ATTTAGACTTAAAAAGGACCTTAGAGATCACCTAATTTTACTGATCAAGAAAGACACAGAAGCCCATAGAGCAGAAATGTTTGGCTCAGTGTTAAACAGGTATTAAGTAGAGGAGGCAGCATTTGAACCTGGGTCTTCTCAACCGAAGTCTAGTGCTCTTGCCACTCCACACTGTCTCCTTCCCTGCACTGCCTTATGAGTTTAGAACTCAAAGAAAACCAGGGTGGGCCTCTGTAAATCAGAGCAGGCACAGTTTGCTTCCATGTCTATTCTAGTAGTATTTAATTTAGATTTTCATAGGAATGTCTTAGGTCATGGAGGAAAAACTGATTATATTTTCTGTAAGTGGATGCTTAAGAAATAGGGAAGACATTGTTGGTAAAGGATCTATAAAGCCAGGCAAGGTCAATGCAAACTTCATGAGCCAAACAAGAACTTAGGGGTGGAATGATTTTCAAACTCTGTTTTCTCTTTTTTTCTTTTCAAAACCTATTTTCAAGGTTATAATTAATCAATGACATAGGTTCAGAAAGATTATTGAGGAAGCTAAAGGCACAATGGCTAAAGTTGAGTTCATCTGGTACCTGAAAAGTCCAAACCATCACATTAATTTCATAAAACCTGGATGAATAAAATGAATGAGTATTAGCAGTAGCATTCAAATTAAGTATGGCATAGTGGATAGAGCACTGGATTTAGAGTTGCGGTGCCTACCTTCAAATTCTACCTCAGTCACTTATTAGCTGTGTAACCCTGGATAAATTACTTAACCCTTCTGTGCCTCAGTTTCCTCATCTGCAAAATGGTGGGGTTCAGACCCAATGACCTCTAGGGTTTCTTTCAGATCTAAATCTATGACCCCATGGAATCTTTAATGTAGATGTGATTAAGCTTGTTGATCACTATGTAAAAGTCCTGTGATACTAATATATTGCATATAATAGTATCTATGTATAGAATGAATACACATATACATATACAATGAATATATGTGTGAATATATATATACATACACACACACACACACACACACACACACACACACACTCAGATGCACCTAAATACATACAACTACAGCTTTTCAGTAGTTTAATAATAAAAGTTAAACTGTTAGGATACTCTCTAATATATGTCCTTTACAGGGGGCTCACAAAATATATGATGTCATATTCAAAATGTATCTGTGTGTGATAGGATTCACAACTGGAATGGATATTAGATATCAGCTCTAGTCCAACCATCTTATTTACAAATAAGAAAATTTAAAGACACAAAGGCTAAAGTTCAAACCTACATCTCATTACAAATCTGGCCAGGGCTCTTTCCACCCACTGCTTCTGGTCATTCTATGAGCTCATCCCATGTGCTTTATACACTGGCATTTCTCATAGTAAGGAGCAACAAATCTTAGCTTTCTTGTATGAACTATGTAAAAGAATATGATAGATCATAAGGGAGCCCCATTTATTAGTAACCACATACTACACTAAGCCTTTGCCAGAACTCTTGGGATCACATCTGCTTAATTCCTTTGAAGTTGGTCTGATATAAGGAAGCAGATACAAAGTCATTTCAGATAGATGAAGTACTAACAACTTGGGGAAACCAGGAAATGCCATGAGTAAAAGGTTGTGTTTGAGCTGTGTTTTGAAGAAAATTAGAGGTTTTTAAAGAGGTCGAGAAAGGAGTGAATTCCAACATGAGGGATGACTTGTGAAGAGACATGGAGGTGGAAGATGGAGTGTGATGAATGGATGAGGTAGGTAGGTGGGAGCCAGATGTGAAGGGTTTTAAAGGGCAGGCTGAGAAGATTTTATCCAAAAGGAAGTAGGAAATTGTGATAGTGAATATTATACCAAACTATCTCTTGATGTCCCAAAGATTACAAAATTCCAATTAGTGATTCCCATAATTTATTGCTCAGTACTACCAGATTTCAAGGCTTTTGGTCTATCCAGGGGTGGGGAACTTGGGGCCTCAAGGCTACATGTGGCCTTCTAGGTCCTTGGGTGTGGCCTTTTAACTGAGTCCAAGTTTTACAGAACAAATCCTTTTATTAAGGTGACTTGTTCTGTGAAGTTTTGATTCAGTCAAAGGGATGCACTTCAGGACCTGTGGGTCCTGCAGTTTCCCACCCCTGGTCTATACCCTAAACCTTCAACTAGTTGAGAAGACCTAAACTTAAGTTGGTGAAAACCTCTAGGGCTGTTGTACCTTTGTTAAGAAGAGTCCTAAAAGATTCCAATTCAATCTGTTTTTCCCTAGGAGTCCTATAAAACAATTCAAAATTTTCTGGGGAGAGGCCCAGCACTGCTTTCTCCTTAGGGATCCCTCTAGAGTAGTCTGTGGGTGGGTGATTAATGTAGCTTTCCTTGATCCTGACCTAATAATAATAGCTAGCATATACATAGCACTTTAAGGTTTGCAAAGCACTTATCTCATTTTATCCTCACAACAACTCTGGGAGGTAGGTACTATTATTATCCCCATTTTACAGATGAGGAAAATGTGGGAGGCAGAGTGACTTAAGCAGGATCATATAGCTAATAAATGTTGGCTATGAACTCAGGTTGTCCTGAGCTCTGCCTCCTAGTTACCTATGGTAACAGGACACATCCCACAAATACAGACAACAGAAAAAGTGGTTCAATCTATGTTGGAAAATAAGGCACCAGGCCCACCTGAAAAAATATAAACTCGATATAAGCCAGACTCAGACAACATTATTTCCTTTTTCCCTTTCATTAATCTCATTAAATTACCTAAAAACACCTCAACTAGCCCCAAGTGATGGGGGAAAAATAGAAATGGGGATGTTAAAGAAAGGGAACTGGAAGGGAAAGGCTATTGTTGGACCCAAAGTTTTGTGTCTTTATTTTTCAACCAGACAGCAATTTCAGGCAACTAATTAACGCCCACAAATTACTACACCCTCCATTTTCACCCATCACAACAAACTCCTCTAGTGCCAACTCCCTTTTTTGCTTTACAATCCTTGGTATACCTTATATCTTCATAGTCATAGCAGACTCCTTGTATGTGTTTATAGTCACATTAGTTATAAACTGAATGATTTCCAACTATTTAAGCAAGAGGAACTGAGCATGTAGGGAAGGTCACAGTTACTTAACAAACCCTTTTTAAAAAAAAAATACAGAATGAGGAAAATCACAGAATAAGAAAATTCATAGTTAACTCATTGCAATGATATTCTCAGCCAGTCCTTGCCTTGAATAGATAATAAAAGCCAAAGGAGACAATTATTGGTCCTGATGGACAAAGAGAAAAACTAATGCCAAACAGCCATATGTGGACTTTTGTTATACCTCCTCCTTTTTCCTAGCTACAATTCATCATCATCAGGGAACTGAGTGTTAAGGTTAGTCTCTGCAAAGTCCAAATTGGATGGACTCTCATTTTTCCCTCCAACTAATGGCAAAAAGTTAAGCCAGATGCAAACACACATGATGAGTCTATTACAAAAGCTAGTGTTATAAAAAGTTACACAGAATTTATTTTTAAAATGGAAATGAGTGGCAACATAAAAATATTACTTGTTTTCATAGTTTCTTTACAGTTTGAGTAAAATTAAGATTTTTTTTTCCTGCCATCAATTCCATTTTTGTTTGGTTATTTTTCTATATAGTGTAATGAGACATCTAATGCTACCTCCCTCTTTCCCCACTGCACTGTTGCTGAATTACAATTCAATTACCACAAACAAGGAGATCAGAGCCTTGGAGAATATTGCATGTTCAATGACAAGACTATGGGGCAGCAAGGAAGATTTCCAAGTTATATATATGGGGCTTCCCAGGGACAGTACTCTGACACTCACTGTGTGACCATGTTCAAGTCACTTAATCTCTCTGAGCCTCTGTTTCCTCACCTGTAAAACAGGGACAATGTTGTGTGGATCAAATGAGAATGTATGCAAAAGCACATGGTAATTATACAAATATCAGCTATTATCACCTCACTTTGGTGAAATTCAAAAATCTGTCAAGGTTCAAAGGGGTCACTTATGAGTTGATGTTCTATCAGCACTGATAGGAAAGTCAGAGGTCTCTTACACCCAAACTAAGACTATATTCAAATTCATCTGCTCTTCCTTCAAAAATTAGTAAAAAACATACAATATTTTAGTTTTCCTTCATTAGGCCTTGAGGTGAATTCTTTTTTATTAAATTTCAAAACTAGATAAATACCACTTCTATATCTGGCAGGGCAGAAGGCAACAGAAAAAGATGGTTTTAAGCTAATTGCTATACTCACATGAGATTTAAAAAAAAAGATGTTAAAAGATGTTATGGTTTTTATCTGAGGGATTTAGATATTAAAGATAATAGAAATCAATCATACCTGAGAAAGAATCCAAGTAAATGTACATCAGTAAAGTCACCTGCATGATATCAGTAGGTCAAGCTCTGCACCATGATGCAGTACCAGTGAGTATGGACACAGACAGACAGACAAGGGCACTGTTGGCATAGGGAGGCTCCTCCTACTCACCAGTTGCCTGACAGATGAGGTGAAAGGTCCCATGGGCGTTAACATGCTGTGACTGGTCACTTAGGAAAGGAGGCAACAACGTGACTGCTGGGCTTTCTGTGCCAGAGCCCACATCAAACTGGGTGCTGGTGGATGAAGGTGAGCCAGTCCCCACACAGGACAAAAAGGAGGTACCAGTAGGAGGGAAAGGTATAGGAGATGAGGCTGTGACAGAAGAGGACAGAAAAGAAAAAGGGCACTGAGGAAAAGGTTGTAAGAAATGTATCACATGCCAAAGAAATATGAAGAAAATAATAATCAGGAAATGAATATGGGGATGATTAAGAAAATAATATTAGGTTCTTAGTCCTTGCCTCCACTTGTAGTTTGCTATCCCACCCTTGCACACTGAAATGGTGAGAGGGGAAGCCCTTTAGAAACCATCTCCCAAGTCTTCTGCCTCTGGCCCATGGGGGCAAAATGTTTAGCAGAGATTCAGCTACAAGAAGTTTCACCCAAACAAAGGATAGAACAGTTTATTATTTATTCTGTCACTTCTCATACATACACAATTCAAAAATAAAAAAATAAAAAATGAATCTTATAAAATATACACTGTTCACACTCAGAGGATCCAAATTATATTAAATTGGAAAATGAGTTCAAATGTGCAAACGTGCACACACACACAGAGCAGGGTTTATTGCTCCTTGCTATGAAAAATGACTATTTCTGAAAGGTATTTACAAAAAAGAGAAAGTGTAAAGCAAACAATGATTAAAACGCTACTGAACAATAAAACCTGTACAAAGAGCTAGGGTGAAATAGTTTTGGAATGAATTAATAGTTCTGTTCACAGGCATTTTTTATTGGACAGTTCAGCCACTCAGTTCACTGATCAATTCCCAACTTGTTTTCTGGTAGGGAAAGGGCTGACAAGTCATTTGAAAAATCTAGGGTAGGTGAGATTTAAGCAAAAAGAAACTTTTCCACTCAAAACCCCCTTATTTTCTTTTTTCCTTTTTGTTTCACTGTTTCAGTCATCTGATGGCTCCAGTCTCTATAATGAATTCTCCGCATCAGTCTTTCTGCGTTACTTCCACAGCGCTGGTAGTCCCTAATCTGTCAGCAAAACTTGGAAACACAGGCTGGGCTGGAACATTCTTTTCACTCTTGCTCAAAATCCACAAAGGTGACAGACAGTCTTCAATTTGTTTTTGTTGAAAAACATTTTTAAATGAAGAAAGAAAACCTTTCTTAAAACCATGTTCCCCTCATAAAAAGAAAAAAAAGGTTATTTTTGCTCAAGAGGCTTTCTGTGCCTAAATGTCTAAAAGCAAAATAAAAATAAAATAAAGCATCTTTTAGTAAGCAAGTTTCCCTGAGACTCTTATGCAAACCAAACCAGATTTTACCCCAGATTTGATCTACAATAAAATCTAGGAGATTCAGCAGCATCTAAAAATTAAATTACTAGCTGTGTGACTATTGTCAAGTTATTTAATCTCTCTGAGCCTCCATTTCCTCATCTGTAAAATAGAGATAATATTCTTATGAGGATCAAATGAGAGACTGTACGTAAGTAAATTAAAACACTATTTAACTAATTTAAGATGTCCTGATATACTAACAAATAAAACTAAAACATAAGGAACACAATCAATGAAAGCAAAGTTAAGTCCCAAATTGGACAATAACCTATAATTTACCAATCTGATAAACTAAAATTTCATTTCCAATCTGGAATTAAATTATTTCTTTTTAAAAGGCTGCTACAATGAGGGGAAGCTAAAGGTAAATCTCTTCTCATGTAGACTGAAGTAAAGTCAATCTTTTTGTTTCTTTCCCTTTGCTAGGAAAAAACTGAAATAAATCAGCACAATCTATAGCTCTCCAAGATTATTTGATTTGACAATGACCATTTTCCTAAAAAGGAAAAGAGGGAGAAAGGTAGGGAGGTGGGCGGGGGAGGGCAAGGAGGAAGGGAGAAAAGGAAAGAAGGAGAGAGATGGATGAGATGAGCGACCCAGTTAAATAGAAACATAATGAAAAATAGTTTTCTGAAGAATATGCATCCTGCCCTAGGAACTAGGTTTTAGATGACACTGAATCAATGTGTCTAGTGGAAAGCCCTCTGGCACAGGAACTGTCACAACCCAAAGACTTCTGTGCCGTGAAAAACCACAGCTACCTTCATTACAGAAAGAAGAATTTCTCCTTCAGTCACCATCAGCATCTGAGTCAGCATATTTCAGTTCACACTTAACATCAAAGGGCTTGTCTCTGATAGGAAGATCATCTATTTTCTGAGAATCCTCTCTGTCTGTTTGCATTTTGCTTGTGATGGTGTCTTGTTCGGTCTCGTAGCCTGTATCCAAGGCTAATTTCGGTTGTTCTCCATTTTGGTGTGAAAAACTTCCTTGTTCCACCAAAGTTTCCTTCACACTCTGCTCACAATCAGAAAAATCAGACTTCGTTTTTTTCCTACCCAGTAACATAACTGAACGAAATTTTAAACACTGTTCTGGAAGGTAGCCCTTATAGCAGTTGTAGGAGAAGAGACAAAGAAACAGAACAAAAAAAAATAAAAAGAGAAACATTAGAAAGCGATTATCATTTGACTTTAGGTACAGGCTCTTCTCTGAATGAACTTCAGGGACAGACTGGATGATGATTTTTGGTTCAGAGACTGTGCTTGTTAAGACAGGGTTGGAAGGTTGTGTTACTACGCTTGAAGTCGTTACCCACATAACTGACATGGCTGAAGTCTGAGCAGTAGGCCCTTTCGTTGTCATGCCTGACTTTTTTGGGGCAATCCCTTTACCTTCTGTCTGTGCTGCTGTCAAGGTAGGGCTCACAGTAGTAGTGTGGGAGATCTTTTTCACCTCCAAAACATGCTTAGCAATCACTTGAGAGAATTTCTTATTCTTCACCTTTTCTTCAGATAAACACTGATAAACCCCACTGTCCCCTTCTGATAAGTTGAATATGAGCAAGGCCTTCCCCACAAGGCGGTACTTGGGGCTCTCCACCTTTAGTACACCGTTCTGGAACTTCCAAATTACTTGGGCCAAGTTGGACTTTTGAGCACACTTTAGTTCTGCTGTGCCTCCAAAATGCAGCAGGTAATTTTCTTTTACTTTTTCATCTTTATCTGGAATATCAAAATAAATGTGAAGAATATCAGTTTCTTCCCCAAAGTTTTTAATATTCTACTATACACAAAATGACACTTAAAGTTACAATGGCCACATATATTCTTCCAGAATAACTAAGGAATTAACATAATTTGGAGCTTTCCCCAAAGGACTTGTTCCCTGTTTGACTGTACAATGCTGACATTTTTCTCACTATTTTAAGCTACCAAGAGTGTTAGCTTATCTGATTAGCCAATCATGATGTTCCTTTACTAACCCAATTAGAGAGGAGCTCCCACCTGCTAAAGGGATCAAAGGATATAAACAAACTTGTTTATACATTTTAAAAACCTAATCACATTTGTTGATTAACTGGAATGGGAGCAGCAAACCCCATTCCTGATATGTGCATGATAAGTCAAGGAAAAGCTGGGCCCTTGCTAAGAACTTACCAATACAGAAACACAGAAACTCAAGGAAATCCATAGAAACAGAAACTCAAATTTTAATTTTTTTTCCAGGTAATAACTCAAGTATCAGGGAATTAATCAGTCAATAAATAGTTCTAATATTTTTGTTGGTCAACATTTTGGGGAAGCAGAACAAATGTTAGGTCGTGCTCTTCTTTTTTAAGCTGTTTTTGATTCTTCATAAAATACTAGATTTAGAGCTGAAAGTGTCCTTAGAAACCATTTAGTTGAAATCGTCTCCTGTTGTGATAAGACTTTTTTTCATGAACCCCATAATGTGTAACAATGGGGTAGACACATCTCAAAAGTAGGTGTCATACTTTAGGGAAGAAAACTTTTTTAAAACAAATTAATAAATTGTAAAGTGTTTCATGCTTACACTGTTTTTAAAAGGGACAGAGAAAAAGCAGACATTTCTGTTTCCAAGCCTTATTATACATGCACTACCTGGACAAACTGATAGTAAAATAAATGAAAACAAATACACAAACAAAAACTCCAATTCATCATGAAACTGAAAACATAATTTTGTAAAAAATTCTAATATTGAAAAACTTACCAGTACAAGAAGATGCATCACCATTCATTTTCTGAATCAAACTGCTGAAAAAACAATCAGATTGGAGGTTATACACATATCATCTTTGGTGAAAAAGTAGAAATGCAAATATACAATTCATCCTTATTGACAGTTCTACATTTACCTGTTGCTGCCATGTTCTTTGAAGATAGCAACACATGAGGCTTTTCGTGGATTCCAAGCACAGTAGGGATCCCTGGCTAACACACAATCTACACATGTGCTGTGTTTTTCACAAAAAGCAACAGGAGACTGAACCACACCAGAATTGGAACCAGCATAGATATACCTTTTGCCCTGTAAACATGAAAGGAAGAGGAATCTAATTATTTGGGAATATGCATATAACTTGATCATAAAAAATCATTACAAACATTCATTTATCAAGCACAGTGCTAAAACATAGCAGCTCTTAACAAAAGTTTAACAAAAGCTTGATGAATTAGAAGTACCCATTGAAGCAGTGCAGTATAAAGCCTAAATTTGAGCCCCAGCTCTGTCGATTATTAACTGTGTGACCTTAAGCTAAGTGAACTCTTGAGAGCTCAGTACCATATTTGTCAGAGGGGCATAAAAATACTATAGATCTACCTTAAGTAGTCACTGTGACAATCACATCAGATGAGATGCTTTGTAACCATGAAATACCAGATCTACTTCTTTAGGCCTAACCTCTTTTCTGATTTCCGGTCTCAAATCTCCAACTCCCTATTGGATAACTAGAACCAGATGTCTTCAATGTCTTGTACATATTTCAGTACTTCCCCTCAAGCCCTCCCCTCTTCCTACCTTACTAATAACTATTGAGGGCACCACTATCCTCCCACTTACTCAGGCTTGCAATCTAGGTATTGGATTAGACACTTTCACCTTGCCCGCCAACCCCCTCCCCACCACTACCTCCTACCTCCTGAGCAATATCTGATCTGTTGCAAAGTTCTGGCAATATCTTTTATATATGACTCCTTCTTTCTTCTCTGACACTGCTACCACCCTGGTATAGGCTTTTATCACCCCATGCTTGGATTATTGCAGTTGTCTGCTGTTTAGTTTCCCTGTCTTCAGTCTCTTCCCACTACAATCCATCCTCATTCACCTGTCAAATTGATCTTCCTAAAGCACAGATATGATCATGTTACTTTCCTGTTAAACGAACTCCAATAGTTCCCTGTTGCCTTCAGTATCAAATACTAAATCTTCTGTTTGGCTTTTAAAACCCTTCATAACCTGGCCCCCTCTTCACTTCTAGACCTCTTACACTTACTTCCCTGCACATATTCTAGAATACAGTGACACTGGCCTTGCTGCGCTTACAAAAGGTACTCTATCTCCTGACTCTAGATATATATATTTTTTTAGGCAAGTGGGATTAAGTGACTTGCCCAGGGTCACACAGCTATTAAGTGTCAAGTGTTTGGTCTGAGGCCGGATTTGAACTCAGGTCCTCCTGATTTCAGGGCCAGTGCTCTGTCCACTGCACCACCTAGCTGCCCCTGACTCTAGATATTTTAACTGGCTGTCTGGCATGCCTAGAATTCTCTCCCTCCTCATCTTCCATCTCCTGGCCTCCTAGCTAAAATCCCATCCTTTACAAGAAGCCTTTCCTGATCCCCCTTAACATTAGTGTCTTTTCTCTAAGATTATCTCGAAATTATCATATATACGTCTATATATGTGTATATATATATATGTCTTTTCTTTCTTTTTTAAACGTTTTATTGATGTATTTTGTTTTTTATGCCACTGATATGTTCTGATATATTCCTTGCTCACTGAACTCTTTCTTGTTAACAAAGTATTTAAGCAAAACCAACCAACACAGTGACCAGAGTATACAGCATTCTGTATCTTTGACTCCCTTGTCTATCAACAAGAAGGTATGTATCTATCTTTTTAAAAAAATCTAAGTTGCTTAATTCTTTATGCACCAGATCAATCTCTTTAGAATGACTTTCCCTTTTCTTCTTTAATGGAATTGTTTTTTGTGTCTGCAGAATTTCATTGCTGAGAGCTTCTCACATTTCCTGTGTTGACATCCTGGGTAGGATTTCATCTTTCCTGTTTGTTCTCTGAAGCCTTTGAAATCTGCCCTCCCCGAATCTAAGATGCATTTGAGATGACTGTTTGCCACTTTCTGCTAATTCTCTATCACATGGAGTGCTTAGAATGGCCTGGATCACAGAATTCCCAGAGATAATTCGTGTAATTCTGAAGTCTGTGGCTTCCATCTTTTAGCAACCACTTAGTTACATCACTGAATTCAGAGTTTAAGAGGCTGACAGAAAAAAAAAACCTTCTGTTCTGAGACTCCCACTGATTCATTTGCAAAATATCTGTACACATGAACTGTTTACTATACTATAAAGTAGTTTATTTTTTAACCTCTTTTTATTTTTAAATTCAATTTTATTTTATTTTCAGTTAATTCCCTTCCTCCTCTCTCACCCTCCTCCAGCAACTGAGATGGCAAGAAAAAAGAAAACCCATTACAAATATGTAGAGTTATACACAACACATTCACACATTAGCCATATTTAAAAAAAAAAAAGAAAGAAAGAGGGGGCAGCTAGGTGGCACAGTGGATAGAGCACTGGCCCTGAAGTCAGGAGAACCTGAGTTCAGATCCGGCCTCAGACCAAACACTTGACACATGCTAGCTGTGTAACCTTGGGAAAGTCACTTAACCTCGATTGCCTCACCAAAAAAAAAAAAAGAAAGAAAGAAAAAAGAAAGAGAAGAAATACTACAATTTGCATCTGAGTCCATCTGCTCTCTAACTAGAGATGGATAGCATGTTTTATTATGAATCCTTTGGAATTGTGATTGGTCATTGTGTTGATCAGTTACTAAGTCTTAAAGTTAATAATATTCACAATATTGTAGTTAAGTGTATAAATTTTTCTCCTGGGTCTACTCACTTCACTTTGTATCAGTTCATACAAACCTTCCCAGGCTTTTCTGAAACCCTCCCCTTCATTATATCTTAAAACACAATAGTGTTCCATCACACTCATATACCATAACTTGTTTAACCATTCCCCAACCGATGAGCATCCCCTCACTTTGCAATTCTTTGCCAAAAAGAGCTGCTATAAATATTTTTGTACATATGGGCCCTTTTTTTCTTTCTTCGATTTCTTTGGGGTATAGACCTAGTAGTAGTATTACTGGGTCAAAGGGTATATACAGTTTAATTGCTTTTGGGGAGTAGTTACAAATTTCTTTCCAGAATGGTTAGACTAGTGACTTAGACTACTCCTCCCCTTAGTAGTTGGGACAGGAAAGAAAACTCTTGGGAAAAATTTAGGAAGAGATAGAAAAAAAATGTCCCTTATAGAGTTGGGTAAATGGAGTAAGGGAATGATAAATCATTCCCCTATATTCTTTCAGAACACTGAAGCTGTTAGCATGGAGATATGTTAACTTATCAGGGTATGCTTTAATCTCTTAAAGCCTCCAAGCTTGGCTCTACAGTTATCAGGATTCTGCTAGTATTCCAAGTTTTGGGGATGCCATGACAATACCACACCATGCACTCCCCCTTATCTCAGCTTGATTCAACTATAGTCCAGAAGTTGCTGGAGGACACTTCAGTGGCTAGTGAATTACGATAGAGTGAGGCTATAGTTTGGGTTCAATCTCATCAAGGTACATGACTTTGATTTAATTCCACTGACACATATTACACTCTACCCCTGCTTATTTGTTTCTTAAGTGTTTACCACTGATCAGAAGGGGACCTGGGTAAGCTTATGAGAAAATCTGAATCCATTCTTGCTACTATTACTGCAAAAGCAACCCAAAGCAGAAGCTTTAGAGACTGAATCAACACCATAAGTATCACGTGCAAAGCGAAAGTATTTTTCTCCCACAAAGCAAACAACGGTAATCAGATTTCTATTTCTCAGAAGAAACTTAGTATTGCCTTGATTTTCACGTTTACAATGTAGCGTATGACACAAACTACAGAAAACAAAGATTTACAAGGATTTTATAGCTAGTGAGGCAACTAGTTTCTACATAAATTACTAGAAATAAAATCTAACCTACAGTATGGCCAAACCTGTGGTACAACACTGCTTAAAAAAACAACAATTCAGGGGGGCAGCTAGCTGGCGCAGTGGATAGAGCACCGGCCCTGGATTCAGGAGGACCCAAGTTCAAATCCGGCCTCAGACACATAACACTTACTGGCTGTGTGACCCTGGGCAAGTCACTTAACCCCATTGACTAAAATAACAACAACAACAACAATTCAGGATTGTATACTGCACTCCAAACTTTGCTTCTTAATATTAAAAAGTTATCATTTTCAAAGAAAATTTTAATAGAAACCTGTTTCGCAAGGATTCACTTACTCTTTTTTTTCAAAATTCCAAGAATTGTTAAGAATTATAAAAGTTTTAAAGCTAGAAGCAATGATAACGCCCATCTATACTAGAGGTGTCAAACTTGGGGTACACTGGGTTACAAAGCTCTAAAATGTGGAAGATGGCGGAGTGAAAAGGTAGTCGCTCTCACTCTCCCCTATCAACCTCTGAAAACCCAGAAAATATCACCCCAGAAAAAAAAACAAAACCCTGGAACAACTGAACTAGAAGAAAGACAAGGAGCAGCAGTGCAGTAGCCCAGCAAACGGGTCTCCAGTGCCTCAGCAAAAACAAGGGGCCCCAGGCGGATAAGTACCCTGCAGCATTCATCTGAAAGGAGGTGAAGAAAACAACCTAAAGGCTTCCTAAAGCCCCAACCTTGCTGATTCCAACCCAATACCAGGTGAGTTGTAGGAGCCCTGAAGCCCCAATTGTGAAGAGATCCTGAAGCCCAGGTGGTAGAGCAGGCAAACACCAACACCTGGACCTCCAGATGCCTCAGTGAGGGGGGGAACCGGTGGAAACCAGCTCAGAAAACCACCAGGAGCCTCGGCACTCCACCACAAAGGAATCTCCTGCATTAGCAGAAAGGAGGGAGACAACACTGCAGGGGGCCCCAGGCAGATAAACATCCTGCAGCAGCCATCTAAAAGGAGCAAGAAAGCTAAAGGAAAGGAAAAGCAGGCAACCTAGAATTGCCTGAAAGTTCCAGCCTTGCTGATTCCAGCCCAACACAAGGTAAGCTGCCAGAAACCTACAGCCTCCAATTCCCAGCATAAGAGGCCCCAGAACGCAAAGCCAGTGACCAAGACCTAGGCTCCCAACACAAGAAGCTTGGGTCAGTACCCTCTGTTCCCCAGCAGGAGAGCTCAATCTCTTTAAAGGCCAGGGAATAAAGAAACACCATGAGTAAAAAGAAACGTACCATAGATTCATATTATGAGAAGAGTGAAGATCAAGACAGAAATTCTGAAGAGGACAACATTGTCAACAAACCCACATCTGCAACAACAAAAGGGAATATGAACTGGTCTGAAGCCCAAAAAGCCTTCTTAGAAGAGCTCAAGAAGGATTTTAATAGTCAAATGAGAGAGGTAAAAGAGTCCTTCAAAAATACAATTGGCCAGTTGGAAAAAAAATACACTGAAGAAAACAAGTCCCTAAAAAACACAATTGGCCAATTGAAGAAGGAAGGACAAAAACTAACAGAAGAGTACACTGAAGAAAACAAGTCCCTAAAAAACACAATTGGCCAGTTGAAGAAGGAAGTACAAAATCTAACAGAAAAGTATGCTGAAGGAAACAAGTCCCTAAAAAACACAATTGGCCAGTTGAAGAAGGAAGTACAAAAACTAACAGAAGAAAACAATCTGTTAAAAACTAGAATTGGACAAATGGAAACTAATGTCTCTATGAGAGAGCAAGAATCAGTCAAACAGAAACAAAAAAATGAAAAAATCATGAAAATGTAAAATACCTCATCAGTAAAACAACCGACCTGGAAAATCGACTCAGGGAGAGAATTTAAAAATATTTGGACTACCTGAAAATCATGATGAAAAAAAGAGCCTGGACAGTATCTTTCAGGAAATCATAAAGGAAAACTGCCCAGAAGTCCTAGAACCAGAAGGGAAAATAACCACAGAAAGAATCCACTGATCGCCACCTGAAAGAGATCCCAAATTGACAATGCCAAGAAATATAATAGCAAAATTCCAAAATTACCAGATGAAAGAGAAGGCGCTGCAAGCAGCCAGAAAGAAAGAATTTAAATATCATGGAACCACAGTCAGGATTACACAGGACCTTGCAGCTTCTACATTAAAAGACCGCAGGGCATGGAACATGATATTCCGTAAGGCAAAGGAGCTTGGAATGCAGCCAAGGATCAATTACCCAGCAAAAATGAGCATCATTTTTCAAGGGAGGAGGTGGATATTCAACGAAATAGGAGACTTCCAAACTTTCCTGATAAAAAGACCAGAGCTCAACAAAAAATTTGATCTTCAAGTACAGGACTCAAGAAGGACTTAAAAAGGTAAATGGGACAGAAGGATACAATATGTTGTTAATAAGGGGGGGGCTGTTTAAACCCCTACAAGGGAATATGAGACTTGCAACCCTTGAGAACTGTATTGTTATTACACCTTGTTAAAGGAGTATACATAAAGAGGGTGGATATTAGTTGACTTTGATGTAATGATAAAAAAAAATCTAATCAAGTGGGTTAAATGGATCCAAATAAGTGGATCAATCTGATCTTAGAAAATGTACTGAGAAAGGAGGAGGCAGACAAGGGTAAATTACATTACAGGAAAAGACACAAAATCCTATTACAGCAGAGGGAAAGAAGGGGGGGGAGCATTGTTTGAACCTTACTCTCATCAGATTTGGCTCAAGAAGGGCATAATATAATCAGTTAGGTATAGAAATCTAACTTGCCCTATAGGCAGTAGGAGGGAAAAGGGGAAAGAAAAGGGAGGGGGAAAGAAGGGAGGGAAGCAGCAGTAAGACTAAAGGGGAAGAAAAGGGAAAGGGATAATAAAAGGGGGAAGGGACTGAAGGAGGCGGTGGTCAAAAGCAAAACACTAGTGAAGGGGGAAAGGAAAAAGGAGAAAGAAAAGCATAAATAGGGGGGAAAAGGATGGAGAAAAAGACACAGATAGTAATCATAACTGTGAATGTGAATGGGATGAACTCTCCCATAAAACGGAAACGGATTGCAGAATGGATTAAAAACCATAATCCTACAATATGTTGTTTACAGGAAACACATTTGAAAAAGAGTGACACATACAGGGTAAAGGTAAAAGGCTGGAGCAGAATATATTATGTGTCAGCTGAAGTAAAAAAAGCAGGGGTAGCAATCCTGATCTCAGACAAAGCAAAAGCAAAAATAGATCTAATCAAAAGAGATAAGGAAGGAAACTACATCCTGCTAAAAGGCACCATAGACAATGAAGTAATATCATTACTAAATATATATGCACCAAATGGTATAGCATCCAAATTCTTACAGGAGAAGTTCAGGGAGTTACAGGAAGAAATAGACAGCAAAACTATACTAGTGGGGGACCTGAACCTCCCCCTCTCGGCACTAGATAAGTCTAACCACAAAATAAACAAGAAAGAAGTTAAGGAGGTGAATAGAACATTAGAAAAGTTAGGTATGATAGACCTCTGGAGAAAACTGAATGGGGATAGAAAGGAATATACTTTTTTCTCATCAGTACATGGCACATACACAAAAATTGACCATGTACTAGGGCATAAAAACCTCACAATCCAATGCAGAAAGGCAGAAATATTAAATGCATCCTTTTCAGATCATGATGCAATAAAAATTATATGTAATAAAGGGCCATGAAAAGATAGACTAAAAAATAATTGGAAACTAAATAATCTAATCATAAAAAATGATTGGGTCAAACAACAAATCATAGAAACAATCAATAATTTCATTCAAGAGAATGACAATAGTGAGACAACAAAGCTCTTAAATGTGGCTGGGAACCAGGTTAAAATGTAACAGGGGAACGTTTAACAAAATAAATAAAAATAAAACACAGATAATGTTAATTTGTGATTTTCTATGTCAATATGCAGCCTACAGGGATCTGTTTCAATCTAAGTTTGATACCACTGATCTAGACCATCCCTTCACTTAAAAACCTTTTCATTCCTCTCTAGGCTGTACTTTTAACTCATCTCCACAGGACTAGAAATTTCCTCACCTTGAAAGCTCATTCTAACCCAGGACTACTTCTCACAATGGAAATGTCCTCCATTCCTGAAGCTTCACCTTCTGATCGGCTGTTTGCTCCCAGAAGCTCCAATTTAAGAGGGAGGCCCAGGCCAAAAATGTCTTCATTCTCTTCCAGAATGCAATGCTGACTCATTCTATAGAACTTCATCATAACTCAAACTGGGTACTTTACGTTTTTGCCCCTCCTTTTTTCAGCTCCCTTCTGTGTTTTACCCCATTAGAACATAAGCTCCTTGAAGGCAGGGGCAGTCTTTCTGTTTGTATTTGATTACTCAGCACTCAGCATGGTGTCTGGTACATAGTAATCATGTAATAAATGCTTGTTGACTGACTCAGTGATTTATAGATGAAGAAAATGAGTCCCAGATAGAGTCCTCTAACATTAGGATCAGACTTCAGGTCTTAACAATTCTAAACAACTGTTCTTCTATATCACCACCATAAGACAGACATGAACTAAAGCAGGGTTCTGACCCAACTCAACAATGCAGATTTGTCTTTACCTTCTTAGAAGAGAGCAGAAGGGTCTGAACTGGTTCAAAGTCTTGGAAAAGTTGAGTTTCCTCAATGATGTGCATGCCATTTTCAGAGCTGACTGCTTTATGCAAAGCTCCTGTGTCTGAAATAGCCAAAGCCAACATCTTAGTGCCATCATTCCAACAGAAGATATAAAGAATGATAATGGTTAAATGAATTATGGCTCACCAGAAGACTCAGAAATAATTGTAACATAGTATTATTTTTTTTAACACATTGGTAGCAATGCCCTGCCCCACAACAAACTCCAATACCACTCTCTAAAGAGCACAAAATATTTCTTCACCTCAACTACGGCTCATTTTAAAAAAAGCCACAAATACAAGCAGAAATCAATTGGCAAAAAGAACTATGTTTTAAAAAGATGAGGACAGCTGGAAATACAAGCATACTGGCTGCTTCAGTTATTTTAAAATATGGTTCATCTTTTAAAAATAGGCAAATTTTAAAAGGACTGTTGGTGACACAACATTACCTGTATATAAAATGTTTTGCTTGAAGTTATTTGTAAGCTTATGATGAAATATTTTTACACAGAGTGAAATTTAATTCAATTCAGCAAATATTTATTACATACCCACTATGTGCAAGGCACCAGGTGCTGGGCATAAAGAGTAAAAAACAGAAAGGTCTCTGGCCTCAAGGAGCATACATGTTTTCTAAATTATTTCTGATCTTTGGGCCAAATGAGATTCTTAAAATGTTGGTGTCTTGACCCAAAAAAAGAAAAATATGTTCTAAGTTAAGACTAACTTAAAGAATGATCCTATGAACAAAATCTGGATGGAAATAACCCAACTGATATTCTGTCAACAACAAAATTTCAAGCCATTTTTGTTACAGAATGAGGATAGTAATCTGGTAAAGAGTTAGTTTTTTCTTTCAATATTAAACTTGTTCTTCAGTTGATAAAGTGAATACATTGTGTTTGCTTTCCAAGATCTCAAATATAGGAATCAATAAATACAGATGTCACTCAGTTTATCATATTTAGTAGTTGTTAAAAAGCATCATTATTTATGAAAAATTGGTGTGGTAGTTAGTGACTTGTGCTCTCTATGGATATTTTTTAGGAATATTTTCAAATTTCAGGATGGCCTGTTTTTTATTGGATGGCCTAAACTTTCATCAAAGACTTTGTGTAATCAATAAATAAATCTTAACTTTTTATCAAAATCTTCTACCAACAACTTTTTTCCTTAAGAGTTTCATTGGTCTATGGATTAACTAACAGTATTTGAACAGCATCTTGCAAACTCACCTGTGCTAATGAACATGACATCATATACTGTCTTGTCAAGTGCCTGGATCCTATCAACCACAATCTGTGTGTAATTCACATCTCTTTTTATTAGCCTGGGTCTGTTTGTTATTGGAAACACAGAGTCGTCCATTAAAGGGTGATCTTTCACAAACTGGAGTGTTTTGTCTGGCAAGTTCAAGGAACTACTGTAGTTGGCTGCTCTTGCTTCATTGTTAATGCACTGTAAAAAGAAAATCCACGAGAATCATCACAACTTGTTGTTGCTGAGTCATTTTAGTCTTATCCAACTCTTTGTTTTACTTTATTTTATTTTTTTGCTTTTTGGTGAGGCAATTGGGGTTAAGTGACTTGCCCTGGGTCACACAGCTAGTATCACATGTCTGAGGCTGGGTTTGAACTCAGGTCCTCCTGACTCCAAGGCCGGAGCTCTATCCACACTGTGCCACCTAGCTGGCCCCATTTAGGGTTTTTTTTTTTTAGCAAAAATACTGGAGTAGTTTACTATTTCCTTCTCCAGCTCATTTTACAAATGAAAAAACTAAGGCAAACAGAGTTAAGTGATTTGCCTAGGATTACATAGCTCAGAGCTTCTTACTTTAAGAAGCTCTGAAGGGTTGTAAGTAGAAAAAGTTTAAGAAGCCCTGAATATCTGGTAAATGTCTGAGGGCAGATTTGAAAACAGGAAGATCAGTCTTCCTGACTCCAGGCCCAGCACTCTATCCACTGTGCCACCTAGCTGCCCTAATGAACATACCCTTTTCATTAGCCTTTTGATAACAGCTTTCTAAAAGTCATTAATTAGGGATTAAGATATTATAGTCATATATTACTTTTAGGAACATTCTTTAAAAAAAAAAACTTACATCTTGAGAAAGAAGTAATAGCATTTTAAAAAGTCCACAAAATCCATCTTCAATTAATCGAAGTACATAAAGCTCTTAGAAAATGCTTTGTTTTAAAACTGTATATATGAAATTTAATTTTGTTTTTGTAAATGCCTATGTATGCAGGTCATTTTCTTTTATGCAAGGAAAAAAAGGCTTTTAAAAACATATCAAAACTCAACATCTGAATGAGCTTCATATTTCTCATTTAATTTCTACCCAGCAATGGAAGAATACTATGTTTCTAAAAAAGAATCTAAGTCCAAACCACTTTGATAAATTAATCCACATGTTAAGCATTTAAAAAATTTAGATGAACTCTTGGGGATTTTTATGTTAGGATAAAAAATAAACTAATATAGGAAAAGGTGTCAATAACAAGAAATACAGTTTTCTCTTCTTACTTCTGTAGCCCACTGATTAATAGGAAAACCAAAACATGTGACTGTAAGTAGGTAATAAATATTTTGGGAAAGGTAACTGTCTATCTAATACATGTTGATGCTTCAGTGATCTCAGTCAAGTTTGGAGTGTCCTCCAATGATAAATATTGCAACACGGCTAGTCATATACTCCAGTGCCTTTTGGGTGAGCTTCAATTTCTTCAGAGAAGAAAATTCCATAAATTTGCAGCAATATGTCATCACCGGCAGATTATTTGAGTTTCAAAAAAATAAGTTTTTGTTTCAAGTAGAAGTTTGGGGGGGTCATTAAAATACTGTGCAAGTTTTCAAAGGTTATTTTCCTCCCCTTAGTCAATTCTGGTACTAGTTCACTGTCCATCTACAATTTGTTTCCAAGATATATTTACCAATGGACCAGCTCTACAGGTTGTCTATTCAACTGCATATCATGCCCTGGACAATAAGAACCCTTAAGACATTTGGTTTTTTCTATGTGGATTGCTAGATTGAAACTTTTTTTGAGTAATTATGTCTTAATGAGGATGCTTTACAATCCTGTGGGGCTTGATTCAATCATTACAGCAGCACATGCAAACAGGTGCATCTGTGGTATACTCAAAGAATTACTCTTCCATTTGAACTGTTCAACAGTGGTAAACATCCTTGGCAAGCATACATTTTATTCTTTGTTTGATATTAACAGACCATTGCCAAAATACTCTGTTATCATATTTCAAGGACTCTTGTACAATTTTAACTCATAAACAGAAGGTGACATGTTGTAAGGAAAACTTTAAAGGAAATGTTTTACTTTATGGGATCAGATGTATTTTATAGTCCAACACTGTGGAATTTCTATACCTTTTAGTCAATTATGCAATTGTAAAGATGTGGTCAGTTATAAAATATTATTTGTCAAATTATGACTGTTCTCTTTTCATACTTCATCAAGGATGCCCTCAATACATATGTAGGTTATAATAATATATATTATAGATTATTCTCAAAGATTTTGAAGCAATGGAAAAATATACATATGAGTGATTAGTTGCCAGTATTTTCTTCTTCACGTTTTTGGGTCATAAACATGTCAGAAAAATTTTCTAAGGGTTTGGCAATTCTTACATTCTTTCATAATATCCTAAGAATCAGTCTCTTAACATCTGCAAATCATTTCCCCTCTAGCATAGACCTTTTCTATGTATCTTTGGTCTAGTCCTGCTGTTCTTTCCATCTTTGTTGTATTTAGTGCCATTTCTACTTCTTCATGCAGCACACTGAGGATGTATTGGTTTCACCATCATTAATAGAGAAAAGAGTTTGTTATAAATTTTTCTTTACAAATCTGTTTGTTCCTTCTGATTTTGTCCTTAAAGCCTCCTGATATGATCTCAAAAAATATGGAAGGGGTGAGAAAGGAGGATGCACTGACAGAAGGGAAAGGTAGAATGAGGAAGATTAATCTCACAAAAAGAGGCATGCAAGGAAGAACTTTTCATAGTGGAGGGGAAAATGGGGGTGGTTGGGCAATGCTTGAACCTCATTCTCACTGGAATTGGTTCAAAGAAGGAAGAATATATGAATAAACAGACACACACTCAATTGGGTTACCAACAGGGACATGGAGGGGGAGGGATAATGCAAAGGATGGGGGAGGATAGCAGAGAGGGCAAATTAAGGGAGGCAGTGGTCAGAAGTAAAACAGACTTTTTAGGAGGGACAGGATAAAAAGAGAGAGAGAAGGATAAATAGAAGAAAATAAGATGGAAGGAAATGTACAGTTAGTAATCATAACCATGAATGTGGATGGGATAAAGTCACTCATAACACAGAAGCAGATGATAGCACAATGGATTAGAAACCAGGGTCGAACAATATGCTATTTACAAGATACACACTTTAAACAGAAAGACACACAGAGTTAAAATAAGAAGGAGCAGAATCTATTATGCTTCAGATGAAGTAAAAAAAAAGTAGGAGTAGCAATCACGACCTCAGACAAAGCAAAAGCAACAACAGGTATCACAGACAATAAAGTAGTATCAGAAATTTTTACAGCAAGTTTCTCCAATAAAGGCCTCTTTTCTCATATATCTATATAGGGAATGGAGTCAAATTTATAAAAATAAGAGCCATTCCCCAATTGATAAATTTTCTACAGATGGGAACAGGCAGTTTTCAGAAGAAGATATCAAAGCTATCTATACTCAGATGAAAAAATGCTTTAAGTCAATATTGATTAGAGAAATACAAATTAAAACAACTCTGAGGTACTACTTTATACCTATTAGAAATGATAAATGCTGGAAATGATGAAGGAAAATAGGTATGCTAATGAACTGTTGGTAGAGTTATGAACTGGTCCAATCATTCTTAGAGAATAATTTGTAACTATGCTTAAAGGACTACAAAACTTGACTCAACAATACCACTACTACTAGGTCTGTACATCAAAGAAATCAAAGAAAAAGAACTTACATGTACAAAAATATTCATAGCAAATCTTTTGTGGTGGTAAAGAATTGGAAATGGAAGGGGATGCCCACCAATTGGGGAGTGGCTGAACAAGCTGTGGCATATGATTGTGATGGAATACTAGTGTGCTATAAGAAATGACAAGCAGGATGATTTCAGAACAACATGGGAAGATCTACATGAACTGATCAGAGTGAAGTAAGCAGAACCAGATCATTGTACACAGAAACAGAAATAGTATAATGATGATCAACTGTGAAAGACTTAGCTACTTTGATCAATACAATGCTCCAAGAAAATTCCAAGGACTCATGATTAAAAATGCTATCCACCTCCACAGAAAGAACAGATGAACTCGGAGTAAAAATTGAAATGTTGTCTTCTCACTTGCTTTTTTTGGCATGACATGGCTAATATAGAAATATATTTTGCATGATTTCACATGTATAATTGACATCATATTGCTTGACTTCTAAGTGGGGGGAGGGGGAATGGGTGTGAGGGAGGGAGAGAATTTATAATGCAAAATTAAAAAAACATTAAAAATAAATAAATAAATATTTTTAAATAAAAGAAATGAGAGATAGTGGACATGGTGGGCACTGTTTAATATCACAAAATTTTTCTAAAATACTTTTTAAAAAGGCCCCCTGAGAGGATATGGCTTGGGGATCTTGCCAATCTTTCTGTAAATTTGCTTTCCTTCTACTGCTTCTTTGTTTGATGAGACAACACTTTCATTACCCTTCCCTACAAGTTTTTACAAACAAATTTATCTTCTAAATAGTGCTGCTTTTAGTTGACATTTTTCTCTCCTTGACAAGGAGACTAAAAGTTTGCTGGCTAAAGTGGTTTCTTGGTTCCTTTGGTCTCCTCATTGTAATGATTTCTATCTGGCAGCATCATGGCATGACAGGCAAGGCTGTGGACTTACATAGAGTCAGGAAGACCTGACCTCAAGTCCTGTCTCTGACCTTTACTAGCTGTTTTACTCTGGGAAAGACATTTAACTGTGTTTCAGTTTCCTCAGCTCTAATATAGGGATAATGATACTTGCCTGACAGGATTGTTGTGAGGACCAAAGGAGCAAACTCTAAAGCTCTATAAAAATACTAGTTTTTATTATTATCGATCATATTTCCTTAGGAAATGGTGATATTCTGTGATGCTTTGTTTTCATCCATTTAAATTTTTTTTAGCAACAAGATTATATGAATAAATCAATGTAGATTTCTTCAAATTTTATACTGTAACTTGAAATTTGATTTTACAAATCTATAGTCTAACTATACATACCCAAATTATCTAGAAGTGATTTCCACATTGGTAACCAGTTTTTTCCTATTAAGATATAAGCATTTCATTTTTAAGATGTCTGACATGTTCAGTGCTTACTGACTTATACAGAACACATTCAGGATATACAGGCATAAGGATCCCATATGGTCTACAACTTCTTTCATTTCTTACATGAGTCATATATTTTCCAACTTAATTCCAACTCTTTCCAACCTCCTCACTGTTTGTAATAAGTCTTGGTACATAAGCCACAATTCTCTTCATGTAGCAATTACTGTTTTGTTTTGTTTTGAAAGGGAATTGGGGTTAAGTGACTTGCCCAGGGTCACACAGCTAGTGTCAAGTGTCTGGTCTGAGGCTGGATTTGAACTCAGGTCCTCCTGACTCCAGGGTCGGTGCTGTATCAACTGCACCATCTAGCTGCCCTGCAATTACTGTTTCACACCAAGCAAACTAGAAGGCAAAACATTGAAAAGATGTTAATAGAAAAACTAAGAGTCACATTCATCAGTCCTCCCAGTCACAGTTCTTCACTCCAGGAAACAAATCCATAAGCTGACAGGGAAATAAAAAATTGCCAAGTCAATCAAATATGCAGTCATCAGATTTTTCAGGTTGGTATCATCTTAGCATGGAGTATTCTACTTTGTCTCTTTTAAGAAGAGGAGAAAGCTTAATCTATGTGCATCCTGAGTTTTTTTCTCTACTCACCGCTCCTGGTCGAGGTTTGGGAATCTCTCCACTGTAACGGACCCATTTGGTATGGGACTGCTCCACAGTAGCACTCTGCATGTATTTTCCTTTGGAGAATACTTCTTCCACAAGGGACATGTTGTATGCACACACTGCTGACAGTCCCACATTATTCCTAGGTAACAAAGAAAAAACTGTTTTTTTCTTGATGACAGTAACTTATTTCAGAAAAATAAAGCTGAAAAATCTAGCTCATGGCACTTACAATTGTGGAGTGAAAACTGCATAAAACACAGGTTCTTTTAAATCTGGAGATTTGAGAATAAAAACATCATTGATCACATTGAAGATAAAGTTATTCTCTGGTATGGAACAGATTAATCTGGCTTTTAGGAAGGAGGTCCATTTCTTCTGTAAAGTCCTTAAGCCTCCTTGGTCCCCCTAAAATTCCAAGGAAAATAGAGGGTATAAATACGTTTTCCATCTTGATTAGATAGCTGTAAAGCATCTCCAAGCGTTTAGGTGTTTGTTATATTCCAAGAATCAATGGAGCCAATCTATTGCACTGACATTCACTGCAGCCAAGAAAACTAGCACAAATGAGTAGCATTGGTCTAAGTTAGGTTAGGCCAAAAAGAAATAATGTTCTAGGAAATTAAGAATTCAAATAAAAACTGAAAACCATTTACATATAACATTGGCATTGACAATTTGGATCACGTATAAATACAGTAAATGAGACTTATGACACTTAGGTTGGTAGACATTTCATTGTCCACCAAAGAAAAAGAAAAAAAGAAAACTAAGTTTGAGGAATAAACTACAATTAAGAGTTACTGGAATTTTCTAGGATTCATCAAAGCTCAAGTACACTAGGTTGCTAAGTTTCTTGGTTATTATCAACAAAACTCTTTTCCTAATATCAGTAGGATATTTTTGTCACTTACAAACATGAGAAAGCCTGCTACTAGTCCTAAGAGGAAGAGATACTTCCCAGCAGTTGGTGGGTATGTATACTTACAAAGTGACTAATCAGGTGTGGCTGTCTTCCTGGGAGTTATACCTAAGATACAACTTTTAAAAAACCCAGAAGTGCTAAGATTTAGGATCCTTTTGGGTTCTTGGCTCTGCTACTACTTGAGTGACCATAGGTTAAGTTTCTTCACCTATATGGACCTCAGCTCTTCATCTATAAAATAAAGGGATAACTTCTACTATCCATTCAAGTTCTATACCTATCATACCCTGGTCTTATGATTTAGAGCTTGGAGATGATCATTTCCACACCTTCACTTCTCAGTTAAAGAATCTGAGGCCCACAGAGGTTAAATCATGTGCTCAAGATTACACAGGTAAGTGACAGGGCTGAGAATGAACTCAGGTCCTTTGGCTCCACAGCCACTGCTTGATCATACACTACAGATTTTAAGTGTAGGTGTCTTCTTCTCTACTGTACTATAAACTTTTGGGGTGCTGTCCCAACACCAAAAGTACCTAGGCACTAATAATTACTTATATAGATCTTATAGAAAAGACAAGAGAAGAGCTGGCTAAAGTCCCAAAGCTACTAGAAACACAGGTCCTCTAAGTCTGAATATAATATTTTTCCACAATAGGATGATAGAGGAAGAGTCCAGAGGGCTCAGTGGAAATGATAGTGAGAAAAGGAGGAGGACTGGAGAGATGTGCTGAGTTTAATATGGGGGCTGGATGGGGAAGAAGAATCACAAGAAGTGGCCAGTGTCCCCACTTATTTTGCTGATCCCAAGCATCTTGGTCCCCAGGAAAAGCAGGCTTGTGGGAAGAAGGATGGGTAACAGTCTGCCCTCCTCATTCTTGTGCCAGAGCACTAGGCTTGAGGACCCTTAAGGGTATTAGCTCAGGGGCCAGGTAAAGGGTGGAGGCACTAAGGTAAAAAGCACATCCCCTCCTCTTTAGAAGGCTGGTATCTGGAATGGACCCTGGTCCCTGCATGCTAGTTCTATCTCTGCTAGTTGACTACCCTTTAATTCCTTACTCTCTCACATTATAGGTTCACAGCTCAGAACTCACAAATGTCAATTCTTCCTACATAAAATCTTCTCGGATAACATTGGTCAGTAATCTTTCCCCTAAAAGAACACTTTATTTTGTACTTCTCAAATGCAATCCAGAAATTCAGGGATAATGTTAAACTAAATGATAAACTAAATTTTGAATCGCTACCTGTGCCTAGCAGGGTGTTCTACATAAAGAAGGTGCTTGACAAATGAATGAAGACTTTGATGTATTCTCAAAACTTTTGGTTGGTCTTCCCTGGAGAAATCCTTTTTACACTTAAAGATAGAGTTGGGTTTCTTAGCTGCTTTTTCTTAGTTTAAATTAACCTTGGCTCCTTTCCCTTTGGAGGGTCTTTTTTTTTCAGTTACTTTAATAAACTGTTACTGTCACCAAAATATCACAGAATCGTATAATTTGAGAATTAGAATAGATCACTCTTTTTGAGGCATCCTTTTCCACGTTTGCTCAGGTTTAAGAAAGCTGCAGGGCAGCTAGGTGACCCAGTGGATAGAGTGCTGGGCCTGAAGTCAGGAAGACTCATCTTGCAGAATTCCAGTCTGGCCTCTGGTACTTCCTAGCTGTGTGACCCTGGGCAAGTCACTTAACCCTGTGTGCCTCAGTTCCTTATGAATAAAATGAGCTGTAGAAGGAAATGGCAAACCACACAAGCATCTTTGCTATGCAAACCCCAAATGGAGTCAAGAAGAGTCAACAACAAAGAATTAAGAAGTTTTTCCTGCTTAAAAGTACCTTTTCTAACTTACATTCCCTATTCTCTGTTCTGCTCTCTGGGACCAGAAGGGACAAGTCTAAGCCCTCCTCCACAAGACAACCCTTCAAATATACTTCCTATTGGCCAGGTGTGTCAGAGAACATCAGAGAAATAGCGCCCAGTATGAATGTATGGCCAGGGCTACTGCATCTTCTGCAGGGTGCTGGGTGTCCATTAGTATCTGGAAGTGGTTGTGGGACTTGAGGCAAGTCACTTAACCTCAAGTCCTCTCTTTTCTCATCTTTAAGAGGAGGTGTTGAACTATATCATTTCTGTAGTCCCTTTTACTTCCGGAGGTCTGTGATCTTAAAAAGAGTCATTGACAATGGATTTCACCCTTTAATCAAATTCTCTTCCCTGTGCTAAACCTGACCAGTTCCTTCAACTGAACCTTATATAGCATGAACTCAATGTCCTTTGCCATCCTGGTTTTCTTCCTCTGGACACTCTCTAGCTTATCAATGCCCATCATAAACCTAGTGTGAGAACTGAACACAATAAGAGGCAGCTAGGTGGCACAGTGGATAGAGCACCAGCCCTGGATTCAGGAGGACCTGAGTTCAAATCCAGCCTCAGACACATAACACTAACTAGCTGTGTGACCCTGGGCAAGTCACTTAATCCCATTGCCTAGCCAAAAAAGAAAAAAGAACCGAACACAATAAGCAAGATGAGGTCTGGCAAGGACAGAGTGCCCTGGTATTATCACCCTCCTATTTCTGGAGGTTATGACCCTCTCAATGCAGCCCAAAATCACATTAGCCTTTTTGTCTTTGTTACACTGCTGACTCATATTTAGTTTGCAGTCACTGAAACTCCCAAATCTCTTTTAGAACAATTGTCTAACCATGATTTTCCCATATTATGTTTGTGAAATTGGCTTTCTGTATCCATTTCAAGACCTTACATTTATCCCCATTTAACTTTATCCTATAAGATTTGGCACAGTGCTGAAGTCCTTTGGATGCCAACTCTGTCATCCAGTATGTTAGCTATCCCTCTTCATCATAGTATCTTCAAATTTGATGACAATCTTACCCCCCCACACACACACACTACCCAGAGGAGATAAAATAGTTAAATCATGATTTGATTATAATTTAGTTACTACACTAAGACAGAAAGTCTGATTCCTTGCTCATTTTCTGTAGTATACAGAAGTTTGATATTTTGTTATGTAATAATTATAGGATTATTATAGAAATTTGATATTTTATTTATTATTTTTTTCCCAGCTAGAGAAGAGAAAGTAGACACACTCTGACTTTAGGGACAACCACTCACTAAAAGTCTGTAAGCTAAGGAAACTTTAAGAAAGAAGAAAACTAATGGTTCAAAAATTTAACAAATTAATCATGAGAAATGGAGTTCAAGTTAATAATCATGCTGGGCAAGCATTTAATCATTCTCAGATTGTATAAAATATGGATTGTACCTAGATTGTACCAAGATCAAATATATGTCCACTGCAGATCAATTAAAAAATTATAATGGTTAAGATCATAAATTTCCAGGTATATCTTCTCGCAGAAGTAAAAATAATTTATGTGTCCCACCTTGCACACTCTAGCTATCCTGGGAATCATCAATTTTCCAAAAAATTCATACTCCACAGACACTTCTGTGAAAAAGAAGTAGATTTTGTCATCTTCTCCATCTGTGCTATTCGGATTTTTTCTGATCACATCAGCAAAGACAAAACTAGGTTCTGTAAATTCAAAGCAAAAATTAATGTCTCACACACACAATGTATAACTTAATTCTATTCAATACCTTATAGAGTTTTTTCTGATTCGCTGATTTGTATAACAGATGTCTACGAATCAGGCCAGGGGAAAGCTGAGAGGTTGGGGGGAAGTGACGGGGGGTACAATCCAAGATTGTCTGACTGATATGAGAGTGAAAATCTTGGGTTCAGGGAGTAGCCACAGTGTTACTAGGGAGAGGTCTCTTAGGGGTGGGAGGAGTTATTGGGAAGTAAAAGGGATGTTGAAAAAAGGAAAAGATCAATAAAAAATGTGTAGCCACATCAAATAGGAGGGGAAGCAAAAATCAATAGCTCAGTGAAAGTTGGTCTCTTCTAGAAGTCTGACAAGAAATAATGCAGTAAAACTCATTCTTTGTTAAGTTTCTTTAATATTTTCTTACCATTAAGCCAAGGTATTGCATATTCCGTTCTCAGGGGACTTTGAGGAGAATTTCGAGAAATGATGGGTTCACTTCCCAAGAAATTATAGGATGTCCCAGAGTAAAGCTCCCCATCTTTAGTGTGTTAGAAAGGAAGAAAAAGAAACAAACATTTCAAATCCAATAAATGGCTCACAATAATGAAAAAAAGTTCTTCATTACAACAATATAAATATTTTTTCTACTTGGGGAATAAACAAACAAATTTCTCCAAGCTGAGGTAGGTCCTATTGTTTATTCCTATCTTTTGTTACTTTTCTTTGAGGTTTAATTTTACTTTGCTTCATGTTTTTAGACTATATTGTATTGAATTAAGAAACAACTAAACATATACATGTAATTCCAACATACCCACACAACTACATACATTGTCTTGTATATAACATAATTACAGGGGATACATCACACACTCATGTTGGTACATAAACATGTATGGCCTCAGAAAGCTAAGGTGAAACTCAAAAAAACTACACAAACAGAAGCATCTACTATTTACCTGGAGGAAATATGATAATGTCTGCATAAGTATTCTTTCTACACAATACATATAAAACTAGGTTAAAAAAAGAGTAAATTTGATTTTTGATGCCAACAATAATTCATATATTTTTGAAGTGTTTGAATGACTTTTATTAAGATCCATATTTAAATTATGTGGATATTCTTAAAGAGTATCTAGTATTAAAATGGGTCAAAACAAATACATATCAAAATAAAAAAATATCTGTTAAAGTAATAATAGACCGCACTTACCAACCATAATGGATGTATAGCTTTGTGCTGGATCAAATGGACACCTGCCTTTACCATCTTCATTTTTACCAACAAGTTCAAACGTTTTTAAAAGCTACAGTGACAAGAGAGTTTAACAGAAGGATAAGCAAAATAAATGCGATCATAATAACAGCTAGCATTTATAAAGTACCTCCTGGGAGGTGGGTGCTATTATTATCTTCATTTTACAGCTGAGGAAACTGAGGCAGACAAAAATAAAGTAACTTGCCCAAGGTCATATAACTACTAAGTGTCTGAGGCCAGAACATCTAACATCTAAATAATTAATTAATAATTAGTAACATCTAATTCATAAGACTTTTAAAATTATACAATAAGAATTGAATCTTTTTAAAATGGCATTTCTGGACTCAATCTTAGGCAAAGCAAAAAGGCTCAATTATGAGATAACTAGAAAATGTTTTTAATACTTAAGGGAAAAAAGTATAAACATGAAAGCTCCCCTTACCAGAGACGGGATGAAGAACATAGACTAGATCTATAAACCAGCTAAAAATATATGCTACCAATAAAATCTCAATAAATTGTAATACTTGAAGAATTCTAATTAATTTATCTACATCAATCAATTAGCATTTATTAAGCCCTTATTGCAGGCACTGTGCTAAGCATGGGGGATACAAAGAAAAAGTGAAAATACCCTCTGCTTTCAAGAGCTTATATTCTAAAGGGAAAACAACATATATTTAAATTGATACATAGACGATAATACAGAATAGTTGGAAGGTAGCCGTAGAAGGGAAGTATTAGCATCTGGGGAACTAGGAAAGGTCTCTTACAAGAAGAGACAGTGCTTGAGTTGAGGCTTAAAGATAAGAATTACAATTAGAAGACTACTGCAATATTTCAGGTGAGAGGTGATAAAGACCTGAAGTAGGGCAGAACCATGTAGGTGGAAGAGATATGTTACTAATACTATTGAGAAAAAAAAAATTACATAATTTGAAATGCAGCTGATTAGATATGTAGGTGAATGCAAGGAGCTAAAGATGACATGGTAGTTGAGAAACTGGGTAACTGGAAGGATGGTAGTGCCCTAGACTATAAGAGAGAAGTTTGAAAAGGGATGGGTTTACAATAAAAGATAATGAGTGTTGTTTTAGACATGTTGGCCTTGAGATACTTGCAGGAATCATCTGAAATGTCCAACAGGCAGTTGGTGATGTGGTACTAGAACTTAGGGGAAAGACTAATGTTGGATAGATAGTTCTGGGAATCATCAGCATGGAGACGATGACTGAACCCATCAACAATTAGAAAATACAAAGAAAACAGAAGAGGACCTAAGAAAGAGACTTCAAGGACACTCATAGTTGGGTGTGGCATGGAAAAAGATGAAGCAAAAGAAACTGAGTAGTCAGACAGGTAGAAGGTGATAGCAGTGTCACAAAACCTCAGAGTCTCCAGAAGGAAATGGTGGTCAATAGTGTCAAGAAAGATGAGGATTCATTAAATTTGTCAATCAAGAGACCACGTGTAGCTTTAGAGAGAACAATTTCACTTGAATGATCAGATTAGAAGTCAGATTGCTGAGGGTTTAGAAGACAGTGAGAAGAAAGGAAGCGTATGGATTAATGTAAATGACTTTTTTTCAACTAATTTAGCTGAGAAGGGGAAAAGAGATATGTGACAGCCGAGTCATGCTAGAATCTAATGAGGATTCTTTTAGGATGGGAAGGCTTGGGTGTGTTTGTAGGCAGCAGGGAAAACAGGGGGTTGAAAAAGACTGAAGATTACAGATGACGGTATATAATAAATGATGTATTTTATGGTTTGTAGAGTTATTTACAGCCATAATCTTATTTATCCTCACAAAAACCCTGGGAAGTAGTTGCTGTAGATACTATTATTCTCATTTTATGGATGCCAAAACTGAGGGTCAGATAGATTAAGTGACTTGCTCATGGTTATATAGTTCACAAATGCCAGAGGTGGCATTTGAACTCAAATCTCTTTTGACTCCAAGTCCATTGCTTCAAATCCATCTTTGACTAAAATTTTTCTAAAATGATTTAGTGCACTTTTCTGCCTTGGCAAGTTGAATATACTAAACACAGAAAAATCTTTCTTTAGTGACTAAAGTTCTTGAAATGAACATCTATTCAAACTGTAAAGTACTAAAGATGTAGGTGGTATGGAGATTGTATTGAATGTATAATGGTCCTAGAAATCTGTTTGTTCCAAATAAATCTCTGATGTCTGGTCCTCTCATTATCTGATTCATCCTTATAAAATAAGGATAAATATTATGAAAAAAATAAGTTAATTGAAGTTTTTGTTATACTATTTTTAAAAAAAAACAATTACCAGGCACCCTCAGTAATGTGGGACAGAAGAGAGAAGTTTGATTTTTCTCTTTTAGACCTCTATGTCATCAGTTCAGTTCAATTAAATAAACATGATATGCATGGATGCAAAGATATGTACACATGTGTACAAAATGTTCTTATTTCCTTACTGTTGTTTGTCTTTTGTTCTCAAAGCAACCCATATTAACCTTAATATTGAGCATTTCATGTTAGGGGTCCTAAAAGTCTAAGAAAACTCCCTAGCCAGTGGTTGGAGATCGAATCTTCTTAACTAATTTACCTAGACATCAGTAATGTGAAATAAAGTAATAAAGAAACTGAGTGGTTGGGGAGCTTTTTGAGAAAAGGATTAAATAACATAAGTTCACAGTTCCATATGCAATCTTCTTTTTTGTGCTTTATATGCTTGAATGTGTTTTCTGATGATTAAATTCAAAATTTTTTTTAAAAATTCCATTAAAAAAGGATTAATAAGTCTGTCAAAAGTAAGAAATTTTGAGAATTTAAGGATTCTCAGAACAAAGAAGGAGATTCTAACAAAGACTGCAGGAACAGACAGGAAGCTAATCAGAGGAAAAGAACATGAATCCTGTTTCTGAAAATAACTAAGTAAATACCCTAGGTCGCAACACTTACATAGAAAACCTCACATAGAAGCCCAAAAGAAAAATAAAAAATTTCAGAAGCAGAAGACAATTTACACCTAAAATAGCTGTTAAAACATTTTAGCAGTGGCAGGGTCAAGGTCAGCATAAAGAATGGTGACATTCCAAGGTCAGAAGCAGCAGAAACTCAAGTCAAATGACACATGAGAATTCCTTAACATGCCTTCAAGTTTTTCTAGCTTTAGTCTTTGAAATACAGTGAAGCAAAAACTGTTATCACAGCTAAGGCTACCTAGCAAAATTAAGAAAAGTTAAAATTTTAGTGAAGAGAGAAAGGTGGATCACAGAGTACTGAGAACTGACATTTTTTTTAGCATTATGCTAAGTCACATTCAGAACAAAGCATGTTCTTGTTCTTTAGATCTAGGAGGTACAGACAGGTAACTCATCTATAAATTATCATCTGAGGCTCTGAGAAGTTAAGTGATACGCTGATGGTCATATTGCCAGTATGTGTCAGACCCCAGATGCGGTAGCAGCAATATCTACCAGGATCCCTGCCTTGCAGGCTGACTCTTTTTTCCATATAAGGCAAGGAAGTTGTCCCTGAGATGTGAGACTAGGGCTTGAGCTGTTGATGAAACTTCTTGGTCTCCTAATGAGTAAAAAGCCTCAAAATAGAGTCAAAGTCCCTAAGACTTAAACAATATCTCACTGCTGTGGAAGTCAAATATGTGTCTTTCTGATCAGATGAGTTTCTGTAGGGAAACAAAGGTAGCTGAATCCTTGCCAAATATTCTTTGTGTACTAATGTGAATTTCTTTTTTATTATATGTAAGATAGCCTATAAGTGTCACATTTCCTTGTAGTCCTGAACCTGAACCACTGGACTGGTCTGAGTAAGGCCTGGCCCATAATACTAGGTCTTTCTGTCTCTAAGGCTGACCCTCTATCCATTATGGCACACTACTGTGTTAATGTAATATAAAAGAGTATTAAAAGTTGATTCAAAGAAAGCAAATTCCATCTAATGACTTTAAACTTTGTACAGTGGCAAAGAAAATAACAAAAATGAATGTGAAGGTAATCATGAAACACCATTATCATGAGATTGTGAGTTCCTTGAGGGCAGGGATTATCTTTAAATTCATTTTGTATCCACAGTGCTTAAACATAATGCCTGGCACATAGTAAAAATGCAGTGTTTACTGACTGATTGGCACCACCATGGTCCCTAAGATATAAGTGACATATAAACCTGCTTGACTGGGATTATTGAGATTAATTCATTACTGCTGTCAAAAAGTTTCATGGCATTTTACATTCTGACTATTTTCTTAATGTAAAGTTTGATAAACCTTACCAGATGATCACAAGTTGGCTGAAATGCATTAGTACCACACACATATAGAACAGTATCATTAAGGAGTTGTAAGACTCGGATATAGTTGAGGCACTCTGTCTGTAATGAATAAAAAAAGGCAGATAAAAAAATTACCTAGCTAATAAATGACAGATTCTCAATTACACTTCATTTACTTGCTATGAATAAACTTTAGAAAATGCATTGCCACATTTAATTTTATTATAAAGTCAAGCAAGACCCTGAAGCTGACCTGACTCATTCCATCATTACAACAGTCAGATTGCTATTCAAGTGCAAAACTGACTTTAGTTTAGATACAAATTTCTACTTGAAAAAAGAGTGATAACCACAAAGCAAAAAAGGTCATCTATAATTTTGGCTCAGAAAGAACATTTAGAAAATAATTCAAGACTCTTATTGGAGTCTTATAGTCTTATAGAACATCCAAACCATTCAATCTATTGCCTGAACTACTGCCAAGTTCATGCCAACTAGCATGCTAGCAAGAGTACAGATATGTCCCTTGGATTTCCTTCTGCTGAACTTTCCATCTCCTTCCTTGGAATGTATTTAACAGAGAATACAGTCTCACAGCAAGTCAAATAACTGGGTGAAGTTCCTATACTATGCCAAAGGGATAAACATAAACAGAGTGAAACTGGCATGTGTGATGCACATCCAAACTAGTATCACAATCACAGAAAATGGGAGCACTGGCAGGGAGCTCAGCAGCTGGCCCATCCAGCCCATATAACAAAGGAATCCCCCAACTACAGTATACCCTACAAGGGACTGTCTGGGGCAAACCTTGCTCCTTGCAATGATATCTAATACTGAGAACACTAAGGGCCCACCACTGTACATAGGAAAGGAGATGTCCAATGCCAAGATAACAATTAAGAAGGGGAATAAAGATCTCCTAAGCAAAGAAACAAAAGCATTTAAGAGTCCATTAGTACTATATGGCCAGGTCGATGATAAACTCAGCTAAGAAAAATATTTTTAAATGGGCTAGAAGTAATTCATAGCTACAGAAACACTTTGCAATGATAATCTTCCTTGACCACATATCTCCTACTCAGCCAGTGAGGTAAACAGACAAACTTTGGTACTTGGCAACTTTTCTTCTGATGTGTGACCACTGGCATTCATCAGGAATGGGAAGAAAGCAGGATGGAAGAAAATAAGGGAATCAGAGACAGGGCAAACAAGAGTGAAGGAATCTCTGGGGATGTGTTGGCACACAGGTCAATGTTTGTTAAGTGGGAAAATTCGATGGGGGAACAATCTAGCTTAGTTGAACTAGGCACAAAAAAATCAATTAAGGTCAGAACTAGAACTAAACTCTAGACTTCTAGGATGGGCTCCAACCACAGTGGTCCAATTCTAAGTTAATGTCTAACATAAAACATACCTTTGCCTTGTTTTAAAATAACTCTTAAAGAAACAAAAATCGTCTTGTTTCTGAGGTCTACTATTTATAGGGAATATTTTAATTTCACAACTCAAGAATCTAAACTGTAAATTAGGGATATTGTTTTAGATATTGTTCAGAAAAAGGACAGTGTACTGGCTTTAAGTAGAGGGAAAAGAGGAAGTGGGTCATGACATTAATAGACTGAAAACATAGGTTCCTTCTAGAACACCTAGAAACCATTTGATAACTTAGGCTGGGCTGCCTTGGGAAGCCCCAAACAAGTAAGCATGCGCAACAAACAAGGCAATTACCACAGGTCAAAAATAACTTTCTGCACTAAGCGTTTCAGGACACTGTCATGAGCTACTCTCACTAGTTCGGAAGTAACCAATAAGTGATAACAGCTTGAAGGAGATTTGCAAAGTCCTTGAAACTCATCATTGTTTGAAACAAATAACTGGCCTACATTTCAGAACAGCAGCCTTTGGGAGTTAAAATATTCACATTATATTTTGTGACAAGGTGAATAAAAACAAGTTACCTGTTTAGATTTGCCCTTTTCAGAACATTTTGCTTTTTTATCTTCAGTAACTTTCCAGTATACCTGGTGGGAGGGAAAAAGAGCCAATTTCAGTAGATTTTAACCTTTTTTTAAAGACCAGCGGCAGTATAATGAACAACTCCAAAAGCATATAGTATGAACAAATGCACAGACAACTGCTATTAACCTTCAGAATACTGCTTTGTAAAAACTGAATTTAAAATGCCAATTTCATACCCATCACTATGAATAATCCTGGAGTTGGATAAAAGTACTAATTATGATGTCTATTTTTAAACTACTTTCTTTTGGTGATGGTGGTAGTAGCAATTAAATTTCATTAAAAATTTTCTGTGTTTTATTAAATATAATAACAGCTAAATTAGAAAGATTAAATAGCTTTAAAGTATTGAAAAAATAAAATGAAACAATATAAAATTTCTCTCAAATTTCTAAGAATTCTCTTACATCAAACTTCTCCCTGCTCTCTTAATAAACCAAAAATAATATAAATGAAACATCAATAAAAAGCAACTGAAATCAGATTAAACATAATGACCATCCTTGATCTTGTGGAGCAGATCATAAAACAAATCTCCCTCAGAATGGTAGAGAGATGGAGTACTAAATATATACTGTCACATATGGTTGGCTTTGCTGAACTCTTTTTGTTTTATTTTTGCGGTTGTTTTTGCTATAGAGATGGGTTCACTGAAGAAAAGCTATATCAGAAAACGAATATAAAAATAAAAAAAGAAAAATCAATGAATTTTAAAAAATCATCAAAATATCTCAGTATAGAAATAGAAAATGCAGGTTTTTATTTTGAATATCTGTTAGTTGTGGTTTGTCCTTCATTCTCAAAGAGGACCATGACATCAGGAAGATGATGCCATGACTTGCAAGCGAACTGGATTTAAGTGAGGGAGGGCTGTGCAAAGTCACCAGCCTCACTTTCTCCTCTGAAGCCATCTGGGTCCAATGGCTAGATAACAGATGAGGACAACTGGATGCAGTGGGAGACCTCAGCGTTTTTTTATGTTAGGCAAAATGTCATGAATACTAAGCTTTGCCTTGAAAATAGTTCATCGAATTTTACTCAGAATATGAATTTTTTTACTTTGTTGTTATTCAGTCTTGCCTGACGCTTCATGATCCCATTTAGGGTTTTCTAAGCAAAGATACTGGAGTGGTTTGCCATTTTCTTCTCCAGCTCATTTCACAGATGAAAAAGTTGAGGCAAACAGGGTTAACTTTGCCCAGGGTCACATAGCTAGTAAGTGTGTGAGGCCAAATTTGAAGTTAGGAAGTTGAGTCTGATGCTATAATCACTTTGCCACCTAACTGCCTCCAGAATGAGCTGAGTTTTGCAATTGCTTACTTCCAAGAGGCAAAAATTCTTTCATTAATGCAGGGGAGTCCAATTTTAGACATAAGCCAAAGTGAGGCTGAAGATAACCACAACAATTTCTTTATACATGATGAGGATTTAATCCAAGAAGAATGAGTCTACTAATATCATGATGCAAAAAGGAAAGACTTCCAAATACATTAGAAGTAGTTTCCACTAGATATCTGGTGAACTTTGACCAAATGGAATAAAACTTTTAAAAACAAAACATGGTTCTAAATAATCACTGCATGTGATATAAGTAGACAAAAATCAACTTGTAGGCAAAAGCTTAAGTTTGTTGCCTTCCAAATTATTTTACTGGAAGACACAGAGCAGAAGATAAGTAAGATATACTATTTGTAATAGCTGACTTTTCTTTGCAATATTTCCTAATTGATGATAAAATTGACTTTTTCTCCCAGTGTTATGAAAAGAGTAAAGAAAGAGGTTGGATTGGATGATTTCTAAGGTCTCTTCTTCTAATTCTAAAATGCTAGGATTCAATATTTTCAGGTGTATTTTGTACTTTGAAGTATTTTCATACAAGTACTTTATAGGAAGTGCAAAGATCTTCTGCAAATCATTAGTTATTAGGTATTTTTCTCCCCACCAAAAATGTTATCTTCAATCAGCAAAAGCAGATGGTTTCTACAACATGCCTTGATGGCCTGGTTTGGTAACACATGCTTGTAATCCTTATGATCAGGGAGGCTGAGGCTGGTGGATCTCTTAAGCTTGGGAATTTTGAGGTGCAGTGAGTTAATCTGAGTGAGTATCGGCACTAAGTTCAGCACCAATATGGGAAGCTCCCAGGAGCAGAGCTACCAGCCTAAAGCCCAGGTCAGAAATGAAGCTGATCAAAATTCCCTGCCTATCAACAGTGGGACTGGGCTCGTGAGTAGCCACTGAATTTCTAGCCTGGGTGAGAGAGGGATATCCAATCTTAAGAATTAAAAAAAAAGTGCCTCATGATCCTTAGTTCAATTCTTCAAGGTTTTAAAAGCCATTAGAACATTTACAAAATTATTTTCATTACTGAGATATACTGAAGCCAACCTTAAATACAATTAGATAACATGAAAGTCTGGATGTCATGAAGACAGAAATAATTCCAATACAAGATAAGTATCTTCTTTCTGGCATTAAAACTCATGATTAGGTGGTAGTATAAAATAAATGTGAGTTTTAAAATGAAGAGATTTTTCATTATTGAATTGTGAATTTTCAAGTGTTTTTGCTATCTCCCTTTAATATTCCTTCTTCCTTAATTCAAAGAGGAATCATGATCTTAAGGATGTCATCCACCTAACCCCCAAGTCATACCAGCATCATAATAATTACTCTAAGTAGAACTGGGGCAAAATACATGACTGGAGACTGTAAAAAGAGGTGGGCTGGTCACGTTTATAACAGGAGATAAGAGATGGAAAGTCAGAATGGTATGGTACATTGATAAACTGAGATATTAAGAGAACAAGAGCAGGGTCACCTACCAGCATATTAAGTAGATTCTCTTTGGAAAATCTATGGCAGATCATGGATAAGAAGAGTTAATATGCATTCTTCCTCTACAAAATTCTTGTATTTACTTATCTGTGCACACATCCCATACTCCCAGTAAAATGCAAGCTCCTTGGTACTGTTTATGTATTTGTTTTTCGAGCACAATGTCTTGTACTCACACTAGGTGCCTAATATTTATTTCTTGACTTGATTTTAATTGAATTGAAATATATGCATTTGGTATATATTTCCACATTGGTATATATTACCACATTGGTAGAATGTGGAAAGAAAACTAAAACGGGAAACAAAAATGTGTCCATACCTCATGCTGTTTTTCAGCAATGTTAAGTGAATTCACAGCAAAAATCACTTCTCTGGCTCCTATGTACAAAGTGTCTTTTATTTTGCTTAGCAACAAAGTAGAATAGTTTGAGATTCCTGGCTCCTGAAAATGTATAAGACGTACTTCTGTGAAGGAGGGAAAAAAAAATTACACAACCCTGAGTCAATAATGAGAATATTTTCAGTACAGGTAATAATTTATTTTGGGCATTTTACTGATGCTATTTCAAAAGCAATACCTTATGGGCAGCTAGGTGGCACAGTGGATAGAGCACCGGCCCTGGATTTAGGAGGACCTGAGTTCAAATCCGGCCTCAGACACACAACACTCACTAGCTGTGTGACCCTGGGCTAGTCATTTAACCCTATTGCCTAACAAAAAAAAAAAGCAATGCCTTAGTCTAATTAAGACACTATGAAATAGCAACAAAAGACCTATACTGGATTTGTCTCAGGATTAGGTCACTAGTGTAGAACGCTAAAAAGGTGACTACTAAGTAAGAGGTAATTCTTATATCTTGATAGGACAAACTTGGCATCTTGATTGTTTAAAAACTGCCAGCTTTCATGGCTAATATATTTGACCCAATTCTACTTTCCAGGTACTGGGTTACAGTAAAAAATTTATAACCCAACCTCATAGGATTATAGAATAATAGTTTAGAAGGTACTAAAATTGAACTGGAAGGGATTTTGGGGGCCATCTTGTTCAATTTCCTTATTGTACTGATGAAGAAAATGAGGCCCAGAGAAATTAAATTATTTGCCCAAGGTAACACAGTAAATGACAGAGCCTGGATTCAAAATTAAGTGCTTTGACTCCAAACCCAGCAGTCTTTCTACTATACCAAACTTCCTCCATTGAATCTTGGTAACAATTTAAATGTAAATTGTTAACTGAAAATGTCCTTTATTAGAGTGGTTTAGAAGCAAAACACCACACATTTATCCGGGAAACTTCATAATAACAATTATCCATTTAAATTTTGTCTAGCTAAGGTTTTTTTGTTTGTTTTAACTGACTACAGTTAGTCAGTTATGGTACCAAGAGCTTCACTTTGAGGATCTGCATATCCACAGGATAATAGGATTATGGATCTAGTGCTAAAAAAGACCAGACAGGCTTACACCTTTCACAAATGAGAGAACTGAGGCCCAGGGAGGTTAAACACTTCACAGAGGTAGTAAGAATTAGAAATAGGGTTTGAATGCATGTCATCCAAGACTCTAGGGCCAGTGTTCTTTTTACTGTACCATGTCATCACTTAAACATTTTAATTCAGTATTTTAAAAACCAATAAAAACAAATACCATTCATTTTCCATCTATATTTACTGCCAAGGACAATAGTAACAGTTATATAAAAGATAGTTTTATAAAAGAAGAACCAGTGCCATTTTCCCTCCTGAACTACTGGCCTCAAGTAGTCAATGTCTCTTGGATTTCCAGAGCATAAGAGTTCAATAAATACTGCCTATTTTTCCCCAATTTTGTTAGTTAGGAGAGATGTGTAATAATTTCCTTACTGAAAGAAGTATCCCTTCTTTTAAAATATCTTTTAATACTGAGATCACTGTGAACACAGCTTTTTAAGGGTGCATAGAGATCCATGTCATTGCACTGTTTTCTAGTCAGCATTATTTCATCTTCTCCACCAGCATGGTATGAGACATTTTATTAAAACCTTTGTTAAATCCACTCTATCATGAAATAGTAGATAATAAAATGATCATTGCCCTTGTGAGGCATAAACTAATGAGTAACCAAAGAAAACAATTTTCATAAAGCTAAGATGCTAATGATAAATTTAAGGAGTTAGACATCATTTCAATGTTCTAATCTGGGAGTGGGGAACCTGCGACCGTGAGGCCACATGGGGACCCCTAGGTCCTCAAGTGTGGCCCTTTGACTGAATCCAACTTCACAGAACAAATCTCTTTAATAAAAGGATTTGTTCTGTAAAACTTAGACTCAGTCAAAAGGCTGCACCCGAGGACCTAGAAGGCACATGTGCGCTAAGGCCACAGGTTCCCCACCCCTGTACTAGTCCACAGAAACATGAATGCTTAGAACTGTAATTTTCCTAACACAGCAGCAAAAAATATGACAATGAACACTGTTAATTACTCTTAGGTTTCTTTTTGTTGTTAACATCAAACCAATGGCTATACAGTTCCATTTACAAACCAAGATACAGATAAATTTTTACTCTGTTTAAAAAATAACAATAAGTAAGATCTTATAGAGAAAGATCTCTAGGAGCATATCTTTATTACTAAATCTGAAAATTAACTTTAATAACTTAGCTTCCAAAGCATAATACATCATAATAGATCTATGACGTGAAATTACAATTATTACTAATAGGTTTTTAAATGGTATTCTTCTAGTCATGATTTCATACAATGATAAATTTGAAATACAGCAGGAGACTGACCTTGCAATTAATTCTAATTGAACACTTAATGGTTACCAGCTTAAATGACCTTAATAGCTTTTTAGTTAAAGGCTTAATGTTTAAGTAAATAAGCACTCAAGTGAAAACCCAGCATTAGGTACCAAAAAACAGTAAAAATTCTAAATATCTCTGTCCAAGTTTTATTCTTACCTCTCTGCTCCCAAGTGATTCTAGGTATTGGACCAAAAGCAACTGTTGTTCCAAATGACAAAACCAAAACTATGAAGAGTCCATTTAAAGCCATATTAAGCATCTTCGTGGGGTGGTAGCTGTTGAACAGCTGCAGGAGCAAATGTCTTCAGCTTATTGTATATCACTGGGAAAAATTGTTGAATGCAACAAAGTAAGAATTAATAACATGCAAATAAACTCATAAATGGAGGTATCCAAAAGGTTATTTCTCTGAAGGAATACTCCTTTTCCAGCATGACAGATGAAAAGAAACTCCACACATGGGGTTCTTCTTAAATATTATGTTGTCTTTGAAGAACATTCTTCTCCACGGTCTTGACAGAAAATGCACCTGTAGAGGAGTGAAAATGAAAGTGGTTAAAAGACTAAAATCATGAAGTAATCATTTCTGCTTTTCAAGTTTTTTTTTGCTCTTTGAAAATTTGAGAAATATTTTCTTATGGCTTCCTTCTTGTGAAATCTGTTGTAAAAAAGCTTAGCAAGTACAGGGAAGAAGGATACTTACAGTGTGGCAAGCTCAGATCCATATCAGTGCTCACCACTGTGAAAAGATTGGGAATCCCTGAACTAGAAGGGTACAAGAAAAGGAATTCTCTGTCCAACACGGAGAGATTCTCTGCTGCCAGACTCTGAGAGAAGAAAAATCCAAGATCTTAATGCCTTTCTGACCTCACTAATCCAATACCTCAGAGTGCAGTGGAGACCTACAGAAAGAGGCTTATGGATGATCAATAAAAGGACTTTCCCGATTTTCTAAGTGGCAGTGAAATTAAAAGTTGTGGAAATCATTTCGGTTGTTTCTCTTTGAAATATTCTCTTTTCTATTCCATTAACATTGCTAATGTCAGGGAGAAAAACCAGTCCTAATATGGTATATATAACAAGGCAATTTTGGCAAAAGAATGGATTGTTATAAAGACATATAAATTGGTAAGCTATGAGCTACCAAACATTTTGTATTTAACCAGGCTTTTATGCATTCTATCTACAGGAAGACCATGTAGGCAGAGAGCTTTGCCTATCTACTCTTCTGCCAAAGATTCCTGAAAGCTGAGTCAGGAAAGATAAAAATTGCAATTACAGAGATGTTGGAGGAAGAAGGGTATTTGGTTCCCATTCCCCTTCTCTATTTCCTCTGTAATCAAGTTAAACAGGTGGTTCTGTAGTTTTCTCTTCTCTCTTCTCAGTCAGTTCATAAATGTTCCTTGAGATTAAATTAACAGGGATACACTATACTTTCGACAAGAAGCTTCAAAATGAGCAGAAAAGAAAAAAAACAACTTAGTCATGCTGTGAAATTAGTCTCAAACAACTGTCACATAATTTATCTTTTACATAATCATAGAGTTTAACAGTTAGAAGGAAATATAGTAGTCACCCAGTCTAACTGATCCTCAAAAGGAATTCCCAATATAATAATATCTTCACCAGGGGAATCATTCAGACTGCTTCAAGACCTCCAAAGACGGGAAACCAACCACCTTTTGAGGCAGTCCATTTCACTTTTGGACAGCTCTAATTGTTAAGAATTTTTTTTAACATCAAGACTAAACTTGCTTCTTGAAGACTTCCATCTATTGCTCCTAGTTCTGCCTCTTGGGCCAAACAAAACAATTTTAAACTCTATTCCATATTATAGCCCTTCAAGGACTTAAATGTTTCCCTCTTTAGTCTTCTCTTTTTTAGGCTAAACATATCTAGCTCCTTTCAAATGATCCTCATATAACATGGACTCAAGGTCCTTCATTCTCCCGGTTGCCCCTATCTGGATACTCTTCAGCTCATCAATATCCTTCTTTAACTGTAGTGCCCAGAACTGAACATGGTACTTCAGATGAGTTTTGAGAATGGCACAATACAGAGAGACAATCACCTCCCAATTACTGGAAGCTATACCTTTCTTAATAAAGCCAAAGATATTGTTCAGTCATTTCAGTCGTGTCTGACTCCTCATGACCCCATTTGGGTTTTCTTAACAAACATAATGGAATAGTTTGCCATTTCCTTCTCATGCTCATTTTACAGATGAGGGAACTGAGGCAAACAGGGTTAAGTGACTTGCCCAGGGTCACACAGCTAGTAAGTGTCTGGCGCCAGACTTGAACTTAAGTATTCTAGATTCTAGGCTCAACAATCTATACACAGGCCTTGCTGCCCTGAAGTCAAAGATAGCAGTACTTTTTCTGGCCACCACATCAAATTGTTGACTCATATTGAGTTTTATTTTTTTTAAAGAAAAATATATTTACTTCAGCATGGGGCTCCACAGCCTCCTTCTTTGCTACCATCATCCCTCCTCCCCACTAGGGACAGCTACTTTGTCTTGTGGCTATGACCTTGGTTATATACCCCTACCCCCATACTCTCCCCCATGCCCCACATCTTTATGTAGCAGAGTCTTCATAATAGCAGCACACTCTCAAGCCAGTCTCACTTAATATAGCAAAACCTTGTTTTTAGGGATTTTAGGCATTTGTGGTAGGAGGAATGGACATCTAACTCCACCATCTGAGGAACATCTGGGTACCTATCAATCTGGGACCAGATGATACTTGTTGGGGTCTTCTTTTTTTACTGGATAACTGGAGGTGGACAGATCAGTCTTCCAGATAGCCTCTATCTTATTCCACCTTTGTTGAACAATCTTCAGAACTTCAGAACACTATTCATGCTTTGCCATTGGGGGACTGTTTGGGTTGTGTGCCACCAGCCCTGATGAAATGGACATATTTCTTTGATACTGCTACTATTGCTCTTTTCTTCTGCTTTGCTGGGTTGGCTATAAGAACTGCAGTACTCAGGTTCAGATACCATTCCCCTTGCAGCTGGGAAAATAAGGACATCCACTTGCTTCAGATAATCTCCTCAGTCCTGGTCCAGAACTTTCTGCTTTTCTATCCAAGTCTATAGCCTGCGGTTCTGACACTTGTCTGTTTTTTCTAGAAGGATGTAAAAGTTTTGAACATCATCAACAATCCCAGTTTTTCAGCTGGCTTCTATGTGTTTGATTACATCCTGCCTTATGCACTGAAATGTCTTATAGGGGCTATATTTGTGGATCAGGTACCAAAGCGTGGTGATGTCTACGTAGAGTGTTTCAATGATCAGATTCTTGGTCAGGCTGTGTAGGTGAGCCAAGAAGGACTGAGTTCCCAGAAACCTCATTTGAGATCAACAAATTCCTTCTCTGGTCCTGCACATCCACCTTGTACTTCTTCAGCAGAGAGGCCAGTCTTCCGACTGCCACATTAAATTGCTGACTCATATTAAGTTTGCAGTCCACTAAAATCCCAAGATCTTTTTCAGAACTACTGTCTACTTGGAAGATTTTTTTTTTTGCATTCCAGTTTAGACTAAAGAATATTTAATTTGATTTTACTAGATTCAGGCAAAGGCTCTTGACCAGTGGTGTTAAATAGAAACAGATCCGTTCAGGCCATAAATGACTTAGAAAATACAAATTAACATTATCTATGTTGTACTGTATTTTAATTTATTTTGTTAAACATTTCCCAATTACATTTTAATCTGGTTCTGGCTGTACTGGCTCACATTTGATATCTCTGCTTTCTACTTTCAAGATATCCAAACTGTCATCAGTGTGTTAGCTATTCCTACCAGCTTGGTAAAAACTGAAATTTCATGAATATTCCATCTATGCTTTCAACAAAGTTATTGGGGGGGGAACATTAAACAATGCAGGGTCAAGAAAAGATTCTTGGGATATCCCACTGTAGACCTCCTACCTTGGTGGCATTGAACTACTGTCTGAGTCTGACTACCTAACCAGTTCTGAATCCAAAAAATATTATTGTCTCGGTAACATCGCTTCATCTTCTCCAACAGCAGAGCATGAGATACTTTATTAAAACCTTTGTTAAATCCAAACAAACCATAAACACACACACATACACACACACATGCACACATAGAGTGTATTTCTCTCAACAAACAGTTCAGTAACCCAGACAAAAAGGAAAAAAGATTAGTTTGGCATGATCTGTTCTAGCTGAATTCATACTAGCTTTTTGTACATGAGGAAGTGGCAACAATTGAGCAAGCTGATGAAGTCTGTGTATATGTGAAAACCCATTTATACTGTAATTACCAAAAATGACTAATATGTAAAAATTTTAGGATATTGTATGAAATATACTAGACTATTCTTGAGTTTCCCTAATATTTTGTCTAGATATTTTAAAATCTGCTTAATGTGCTTTACTTAACCAAGTTTTTTTTTTAAAAAACACTATTAATCTTTGATAAAGATTGAGTACGTAAGAGAGGTTAGATAACTGCCCTGTTATATAATTAGAGCTGGGCTAATCTATAGAGAACCCCTCAATTCTGTCAAGTGGTTATTAGAAGATTTCATTTGGATGATTCTCAGCCTCCTTGGTTTTTGTTTTTTATTTTATCCTATATAGCAGATGTTTTTAAGCTAGGTTCAATGAACTTTTAAAAATATACATAATAATAATTGTATTCTGATATAATTGGCTTACTTAGTAATTTTATATATTTTATTTTATGTATTATTTGGAAAAGAAGTTTCACAGGCTATTACCAGGCTCCCAAAGGGGTTCATGACACAAAAATGTTCAAGGAATCCTTCCTTTAAGTGTGCTTAACTACCTTATATTTAATATTTTGTGGTTTTATTCATAAAGTTCCTATGTATATCTGTAGCTATGTATATATCTATGTATGTATATATGTAGGTAGGCTCTTAAATATTTTGTTTATTCTATAGTAATTTTGAATGGAATTTCTATTTCTATATCATCCAATGAGTTCTTTTGGTAGAATACAGAAATGCCATGGGTTTATTTTATATCCTGCAACTTTGATAATAATTGTTTCAATTAATTTTTTAGTAACCTCTGTGGGGTTTTCTAAGTATACCATCATAGTGTCTGCAAAAAAAGTGGTAATTTGTTTCTTCTTTATCTATGCTTATTCCCTCAATTCCTTTTTATTGTCTTATTGCTATACCATTATATAACATTTCTATAATGATAATGAACATCCTTGCTTTGTCCTTATTCTTACTGGAAAGGGCTCTAGTTTATCCCCATTTAATATAATGGTGGTTCTTGGTTTTAGACATATATTATTTACTACGTTAAAGAAGGATTTATTACTATATTTTTTAGTTTTTCCCCTCAATAGAAATGCGTTTCACATTTTGAAAACTGTTTCTATGTTTACTGATGAAACCATATGATTTTTGTTGTTCTTGTTAATAATTCAGTCACTTACATTTATAAATTTACTAAAATTAAACCATCTCTGAATTCCTGGTTATAAATCTATAGTACGAAATCTTTA